CGCTCTTCCCTTGGGAATGTGATCAAGAGCAAACTTGTAGATAGCTCTAGCACGCTCAGTCTCCTTACACCTCTCCTCAAACTCAGCAAATGCAACAAACAACATCTCAGCCTCCTCATCGTCGGAGAGCTTATCCACCGCTCTCTCGTAAACGTTCCTCGCCCTGGCAACCTCGCCGTTCTTCATCTCGAACTTCGCGTAGCGAATCCAAGCCCCAACCCTAGGGTGGCACTGAACAAAGCGCTCGAAAATGCCTCTAGCGCGCTCAATTTCATTGTACCGAAGCTCAAACTTGATGTAAGAGAGCCATCCCTGCTGGTCAGGGGTCCACTTCATCCACCGCTCGAAAACCTGCCTCGCGCCGGCGACATTGCCGAGCATCTCCTCCATGTGAATGTACTTGTACCATAGCTGATCCACGCGCGGCAAGAGCGTGACGGCGCGGTCCCACACGTTCCTCGCGTGGTTTATGAACTTGTTCTTCATCTCCACCTCCGCGTACTTGAGCCAGAGCGTGTGGTTCTTGTAATCGACCTCCAGGGCGCGCTCCCAGACGGAACGCGCGCGTTTGAAGTCCTTCTGCGACTCCTCCCACTGCGCGTACTTGATCCAGACGCCGATGTTCCATCGCACGCGGCGGATTAGGTCTTCGAACTCCTTGCGCTTGCGGAGGCGGTACTCGCCGAGCTCGGTGGGGTCGGTGATCTTCTGCTTCGGAGGCCGGATCTCGGCCTCTTGGCGCTCGCGAGCCTCCCGCAGAATCTGCTCTGCGGTGATTTGAATGGGAGCGGGGGTTTTGTTCTTCACCCTCGTTGGACGCGGGAGCTTCACCTCCGTATCCTTCCGCGTCAGGTAACCCAGCGTTGGGTCCGCTTCTTTCGACGAAGACATTGCCGCTGTCTAAGGTTTGGGATTTCTTTCGCAATTTTGCAGCGCCGTAAACCCTAGCGAGACCAGACGGGGAAGAAGAACATAAAAGACTCTCTTGTACTTTTCCGGTTTAACTATTTACGCAATTTTAAATATATACATAAGCATTTTATCAATTGGTCACTCCCTTACTATTAGACAAATTGTTTTAATTAAATTACAAAATAATTATGGACATAGTTTAAGGAAGTTATACAACTCAATCTCACTTGTGTTACACTTAAAATTTATAAACACAAACTTAGTTATTTTCAAAGCTTTGAATTAAGTTGTTGTTGGAGATAAGCAAATTTGTTTGCTCACATTTTAGCATCAGCATTAAATTTGTATATTGATTTGTATTCAACATACTATATACACATAAATGATATATTTTTTTTATTTATTAAAATTACAATGAAATGATCATTTCTTATAAAAGAAAATTAAGCTTTCGTTGTATATTTATATTTATAATTTTGCAATTATATTTTTAAATATTTTAAATAAATTTAACATCAGACATTTATGTAACATATTACACTCATAATTTGTTTTAAATTTTAAAAATTATTATTATATATATATATATATATATATATATATTAAGCAAAACCATGAAATAAAAAACTATATGCTCAACTCAGTTATAAATATACCCCGTGCACGTTGAATGCAACATGAAAATAAATTAAATAAAGTTTATGAATCTTTTTCTCTATTTTTATATTCTTAATACCTTTTATTCATTTTTTAATAAAGTTTCAACATTTTCAATTTAAAAATATGTGTTTAATTATTTTACAAAATTATATATATATATATATATATATATATATCAAATTAACAATTATAACTGTTATATATCTACGTGTGTTTAATTGAGATAATTAATTTTTTAATTCATAAATATACATAAGAAAAAAAATTTGAAAAATTTAATCAATATATTTTTTATCAGTAAAAATTACAATGAAAAAGTTTGAACACAACATACTATTGAGTACAAGATTTAAATTTATAAACTTGAACACAACATACTATTGAGTGAACTTAAACGTATTGTATGTTTATGATTTATTTGTAACATATTACTCTAGTAATTTGTTTCCAAAAAGGAATATTGCAATATTTTTAAATATAATAATTATACATGTATATATTATTATTTTAAAAAAATAATTTTCATCGTTTTTTCTTTCTCTAAAATAGTCAATTGGTATCAAATTTTATTAAATTATTGTCATTGTTTTCCTTCTATTCAATTTGAAATCACATATAAAAAATTACTTGTCTTTTAGTTACTAGTATAAACAAAATATGGTTTACAATGTTATTTTCTAAACATTTGTAAAAAAAATAAACACTTTATACCTGTTAATTTAAAAAGAAAATAAAATAAATAGTTATTGAAAGAGTGATGTCATTTAATATATATATATAATATGAAGTGGGTGATTTTAGAAAAAATGTCAAAATGTTTTTCTAATTTCAATGTGAGAGAAAATGTTAATTATTACAAAAACTCTTAAACTTTTTATTTTTTTCTAAACAATTAAAAATGATATATAATGAAACATGTTAACATGTGGTCTATGGTGGATCGCAGTTCTTAGTTGTTTAATTAATCTCAACTCATAGGTATTAGCTTATATTCTTCTCATCATACTATTTCTTTCAATTCTTTCTTGGCAATTGACCACCATTGAATGACAGTGCATCATTTGATAATGGTGTTGACTGCTATTTGTCACCATCAATCATTGTTAATTATTATTGGTCATCTTTCATGTCATAACCATCGTTCATATACATCAAGTCAAATGACTCTTAACAAGGAGGAGATCATATGCATCTACAAAATGTCATCGTTGTAGATGAAGAAGAGGTACATGATATGCAACCTAAAGGTGATTGTTATTCAAGGATTGAAAGCAAGCTTCACACAATGACATTTACACCATCAAGTTCATAATAACACCAATTTTCTCTCCCACAACATTTATACCTTTGATCTTATACTTCTTCAACTTCCATGAGTTAGCCATGACAGTTCCTTCACCATCCAACTTTGTGATGGTCATTGCCTTTATTTTTACATGTCCTTCTACAATATTCATTCCATTAGATGTTAGATCAAAAGTGTTGTTCTTTAGTTGTCATTGCTTCTTTTTTCATTATTCCATGTGTTGAGTTCTTTATCATCAACACTTGTGTTGTCTTTGATCATAAAGCCAATGGGATTTGAAGATCAAGGACATGAAAAGGCCATGGAAATAGACTGAGGATGGGGTTGGAGGAGGAAAAGTAGAAAAAACTCAATGAATAGTATACCATTATATTTGATGGAATTGTAAGATCTAGTGGTAAAAAAATAGGTCCACCATAAACAACATATCATCTTATACCACCTTAAAACTAGTCACAATTAAAAGTTGTAGCACAATAAAATTTTGTTAATTATTATTTATTAGCAATAATTATGTGTTGTGGTGTTTTGAAGCGTGGTGTTGATAGACTTTGAGAATTAAGTAAATCATAGAGTCTTTAAGTGTTTTAGAGAGTTTCTTTAAAAAGAGGTCCAGTTTAACTATGAGTAAAGGAGTATTTAAGGTTTTTTTTTTTTGAAAATTGAGTCTTATAAAAGTCATTTCTTATAGAACTTTAGAGAGATACTAGAGAGGAGAGTTTTAATTTCCTTTTCTTTTTCTTCTTTTTCCTAAGCATCCCAAGTGCGCAAAGATTGTTGTGAATTGTTGATTCAAAGTCAAATAACTGAGAATCAAGGTGGGATAGGTGCGAAGCTTACAAATACTTAAAGCTCAAAATCGTTTTTCTTCTTTTTTCATCTCTTTGTTTGGAGTTGAGGTAAGAATATACTTTTGTTGTATGTTTTGAGTTGTATGCATGTAATGTCTACTAATTGGTTGTAATGGTGAGGTTGCATTACATGAATTTGAAAAAATGGTTGAACCTTGTGTTTTTGGTTTTCAAAGAGAGACAATTTGGTGTTTTGACTTATACCTGGTTGCATGCTGAATTTGAGTATGGATTCGAGTTGTTGATGATTTTTATGAATGAAATATTACAATGCATGTTGGTATTTCTAGGTTTTCAAGTGTCTTGGGCCAAGTTTGTGGTTTATTAAGTGTAAAATTCATTGGTGCATTGATCATGGCTCAAATTAAAGGGTCTTTTATCTTGCTCGCATTAGACACAAGATTGGTGACGTTGGACGTGAAGAGAAAGAATAACCTCTGACTTGGTCTCGACAGGCATGGTTTGAGTGGCATCAAATGTGAGGTGAGAGAATTGAATTTGTTTGGATTGACATTAGGTGCCAATGAAGTGACACTTAGTGTAAGAAGAGAGATGTGTCTCTACCTATAATGGGGTCAGACATGAGACTTTGCCACATTAAGCGTAAAGGCCTAAGGGTCACTACCTAATTCACGTCGGATACAGATTAATTGACGTTGGGCATAAGCGAGACAGGGAACTCCCTACCTCATTCTTGTTGTTTTAGTGATTACATGGTAAACATGAATAGGTTAGATGAATCTATTGCATGTTTCATGTTGCTAGATGTGGTTGGGGTCTATGTATGTTGCTATGTGATAAAATATATTGATGGTTGTATGATGGAACTGTAATTATCTACTGTGAATTGGTTAATGTTGTTAAATATATATCCATTAACCTAAGATAATGCATATAGTTGATAATTGTTGAGGTATGATGCTGGAAATACTTTAGGCATTTAGGCATGATTTATTGACTTGTTGAGGTGTCAATGTTGAGAATGTTATAGGCATTTAGGCATGTTATATTGATACACTGTTGACGTTTGATGCTGAGAATGTTATTGACACTTGGACATGTTGATTGACTTAAGATTATATGAGAGATTGTTTTTGAAAGTTAGATATCTCATTGTGGATATTGGTGTGGTGCTCCACGAGTGTAGTTGTTGAAAATCCTCCTTTAGTAGGTGTTATCTCTTTAAGTGAATTGTCTGTCTCCTTTAGAACATTGGTTGATGTTGGTGTAAAGTATAAAGTCGAGAGTTACAATCATTAACTGATTACTGGAGAGTTACATGATATCATGAGAATAGTTATCAGGATTGTAATCTACAAGGGACTTGATTAATGCATGTCAATGTCATAGTAAACCCATATTTAAGCTATAATAATGGTATTGAAATTTCTTAATTTAAGCGATGACATTCAATAAATTATGTACTTGTGGATTATATCCAATTTAGCTATTGATTTAACATATGTGAAAGGTGTGAAAACAATCATGTTTATTTGGTAGGATCAAAACACTTAGACTGTTCATCTTGACATATGAGATCCCATAGGTAAATGCATGACGACGCCTTAGTTGAGGCGTGAGCATATGATGTGTTGATATGTTTTGCGGATTAATTATTGAATGACGTTCAATTGGTGAAGTATGATACATCATATGTTTTGAGTTGCTTACTCTTATAAGTTGTTGAATACCATGATAAGGTGATTGGTTTGTGGTGCTTAGTTGTAGATCATCCTATGATTTGATACATGGTTTACATGTTCATGTTGTTGTTAGTATGGATACTTTTAGTCCTGTTTAGTGTTTATTCTTTGAAATTTAGCTTGCCTTTGCATGTTTTCCTAGTGGTTGAATTGCAATGATCATATTTACATAAGAGTAAGATAAAGATAAGCCAAATGTTGATGACTTTTAAAGCCATGATATTGGCGAGTAGTTTGGTGTTACTGTTGGTGATAGTATGAAGTTTTGTTATAGTTGTTTAATCAACAATTTAAGATATGCATTTGGATGTTCACTGAACATGAGAAGAGGGCTCATGTTTCTATTCATCATTTTGGTGTTCACTATAATTTATCAATTTTAATATTCATAGATCTCATATATATATATATATATATATATAGTTATTGATATTATTCATTTACTTACAACCACTTCCCTTTTTTTTTTCTTCTTAATATTTATGTTTGAAAGTACTAGTTTAAAAACATGAAAATTAAGATATCCCCCTTGTGTGTGTGGATTAACTGTTATGGGCCAGAGATTATTAACTTAAATAGTTCAATATTTGTGCTCCTTAATCAAACATAAAGATTTGATTCCTACCTTAAACATAAAGTCATGATTGAAGATACTACTTTATCCCTACAATATATGGTTTGGTGAGAAGGAGTTATACCTTTTATTAAACTAAAAAAAAACGAAGATCAATTAGTATGGAGATGTTATAGTTTGAATAAAGATCTCCACTTCGACTCAATGATATACAATCACACTAAATAATTGGAGGGAGAATTTTGTTGCTCATGATGGTCATATCCAATTTGTCTTTGATAGAGGATACATGTAGTATTTAGCAAAATAATATAGATTAAATTATATTTTTAATTCCCATAATATCTAATTTACAATTTTAGTCTATATTTTTAATTACACAATCTTGGTCTCTCAATTTTAGTCACCTCTACCACTTTCTATTCAGTAAACCATTAGTTGATGATAATATAATATGTTAATGGTGACATGGATTGATGATGTGATACTTTGAGATATCGTGATAAATTACATAAATTAATAATGAGTTACTTTAGTAATGATATAAATTAGTAACGTGACATAAAATATAAGATTTGTTTTGAAAATGATAAAAAATTCTTCAAGAGAACTTAAATTAATGGTCCTTATTAGAACCATTAAAATTGAGTCAGAATAGTATGCACAAAATTTTAAATTTAAATCTTATTTTTGTAAATTAATTATAATGATAAAAAAAAATGTCCCCTATTAAAAGTTTCTCTATTTCAACTACTAAGTTATTTAAATTTTTTGCATTATAATTGGAACAATATTTCATATATAGTATGAGTTAACTAATTTTAAAATTTTTTCATATTATGTTAAATATAGTTTATATTTGATAAAACAATATTTTTTTGGTAATTAACTATTATATAACTTATTGTTTAATATACTTTATACGATAAATATAAAATAATTTTTTTATCTTTTACTTTTAACTCATTTATTTATTTTAATTACTTAATTTATATTATTTATTTTAATATTATAAAATATTTTTATTATATTAAATAAATAAGCATACCAATATTATATTATTTATTTTAATTAGTATATCTCGTCTAACTTTTTTTTTTTTAGTTTAATCAAGAAATATAACTGTTTCTTATAGGATTGACTTCATAAAAATAAAGTGATATTTTTTAATTATTATTTATTTTGTGTCAAAGTCATCTATACTCGTACTAACCCTTTATTATAGTTTTTAATTTGAGAGTTGCTAGGTACTCTCTACAATTGAGAGATTTTAATACATTTTTTTTATATAAACTCATAAAAGATTTAAAAAATTAATTTAATTATAAAATGAATAATCTAAATTATACTTATAAAATAAAAAGTAAGATAAAATTATAGAGATTAAAATTATAAGATTTTAATAATATTATAAAATATTAAAAAATGAAAAATTAATAAATAGTAGAAATAAAAAGTTATTAAAATTACAATATAGAAATTAAAAAATTTAAGACAAAAAAA